GCCTCACCTCTGCATCCCCTGGAGGTACAGGGACTCATCTGTGGTCCCCGTTTTCCCTCCCTTCCTGAACGCCTTGGCCCCGTCCCTAAGCAGCTGGAGTTTCAGAGACATGGCTCAGATCCTGGGTTGGCCAGGAGTTAGAGCCACTGAACCCCAAGATAGAGATAATATGAGGGGATTGAAGGTGGGTGAAAGTTAAGGATTTAGGGGAGGCAGACAGCTGGCAAATTGGCCTCTGAAAACCATTCATTCTTCTAGTATAGCTACAAACTGCCAACCCAGGTGACCCACGATGGCATGGGTGAAGATGGTCAGGACCCTCCCAGACTCCTCCAGGGCCCTATTTAGACAGTAGGCCTCGTGGAGGGTGGGGAGGCTCAGGGGTGGAGGTAGCTTACAGGACAGAGAGGTCGGTGAAAAAAGGAGAAGTTTCTGATCTGTGTGAGAAACTTACTCCTTATGGCTCAGAACTATACACCGCTTCACAGACCAGGACCCAAGGTTAGTGAGACCTCCTGCCAAGAGCCTGTAAACCGACTGGAGATGAAAGTGTCCTCTGTAGTGGACACATCAGAGCACAGAGTTCCAGCCCCCAGCCACTCTGCCCCCTCATGGTTCTATGATGACCTTTGGGACTCTAGCGGGCAGTGGAATGTCTCACAGCTAATAAAGTCTGCACATTTCATGTTAGGCTGGGTGTGTTGCTTACCTGAGGGTCATCAGGTCCTTGACTGTGCTGTGACTCCAACAGCTGTGGTCTTCTCCAAGTCCCTCTCACAAGGATTTGTGTGTGGGGGACAGGAAAGTGCTCTGCTGGGTTCAGTAGTCCCAGGAGCATGGGGCTTTTTGCCAGGCTGGGGTAAAGGGAAACACAGAGTCTCTGACTTGGTCACCATCAAGAACCACGACATGTCCATAGTGCTCCCTCTGTGCCAAGTCCCTGCCGACTGCTCTGCAGACATTACTTCATCGAAGCCTCACAACAACCCTGTGGGGTTGGTATTATTAGCCCCATTTTAGAGATGAGAAATCAGAAGCAGAGAGAGGCTAAGAAATTAACCCAAGCATGCGGGGGACTTCTGGGGTGCTAGTACTGTTTTGCTTCCTGATCTAGGAGCTGTTTACATACGTGTATATCAGATTGTGAAAATAGGTGCATTTCTATGTGTAAGTTATACTCTGATTAAAAAGAAAAAAGAATCTTACCTAACAAAGGAAGCAATTTCTACCCAGATGGTCTGGCTTGAGAACTCTGCAGTTAACTACTCCAATGAGATGGGCTGTTGTCCAAAAAGTACCTGGCCACTGGCCTTCCATCCTTTTTTGGTACTCCTTGAAAGAATTTTGAAAATGAATCCCTTGCCCACCACATTTTAAGTTAACATTTTAAGTATCTCATTGATAAGTTTAAATAGTTGCAAACATGTTATTTCCAGTGTATTGTGACTATTGATACTGTATAAATTGCTTTATTTATACCAATATATTTAGACACAAATAGCATAGTGATTTGAGAGCCAACGTCATTCATTTTATTTATTTTTTAAGAAATTTTTTAGTGTTTATTTTTGAAAGAGAGAGAGAGCAGGACAGGGGCAGAGAGAGGGAGACACAGAATCTGAAGCAGGCTTCAGGCTCTGAGCTGTCAGCACAGAGCCCTCCCTATGCGGGGCTAGAACTCAAGAACCACAAGATCATGACCTGAGCTGAAGTCAGACGCTTAATGGACTGAGCCACCTAGGTGCCCTGAGCCAACATCATTCATTTTAAAAACACAAGAATGAATGGGAGCCTGGGTGGCTCAATCTGTTGAGCGACTGACTTCAACTCAGATCCTATGATCTCACGGTTCACAAGTTCGAGCCCTGCCTGGGGCTCTGTGCTGAGGGCTCAGAGCCTGAAGCCTGCTTCAGATTGCGTCTCCCTCTCTCTGCCCCTCCCCTGTTCACACTCTGTCTGTCTCTCTCTCAAAATTAAACATTAAAAATAAATATTAAATAAACATTACAAAATAAATAAAAACACAAGAACCAGTTGCCTGGGTGGCTCAGTTGGTTGGGTGTCTGACTTCAGTTCAGGTGGTGATTTCATGGTTTGTGAGTTCAAGCGCCACATGGGGCTCACAGTTAGAAAGTTGGAGCCCCACATTGGACTCGTGGCTGTCAGTACAGAGCCCCTTTTGGATCCTCTGTCCCCCCTCTCTCTGCCCCTCCCTCAGCCACACTCTCTCTCAAAAATAAACATTAAAAAAAAACCCACAAGAATAAGCTCTTCTTTATTCTTTTTTCTCTTCTTATAATTCCATTCTATTCCCACAGTTTATGCTACATGTAATGTATTTCCAGATTTAAGACCTATTATTGATAACCTGATCATAACTGTTTGCAAGAAATGCATACACACACACACACACACACACATCTCAAAATTTTAAAACAACATTTTTGTAAACTTATCAAGACTTTAAGGGTTACACTTAGTACAGAGTTATTCAAAAGAACATAATTATATTTCAAATTTTTATAGAAACTAAAATTTTATTGGGAATGCATCTATAAAAGGGTATTTTCTTCTCATTAGCTCATGAGTGTGGATGAATATCACTTTTTATTAGAATAAGACAAAGTTTAGCAACACTTTTTTTTAAATGTTTATTTATTTATCTTGTGAGGGGGAGGGGCAGAGAAAGAGAGAGAGAATAAGAATCCCAAGTAGTCTCCTCGCTGCCAGCCGGGCGAGATCATAACCTGAGCCGAAATTGAGAGTCAGTTGCTTAACTGACTGAGCCACGCAGGTGCCCTGGGTCAGCAACACTTTTATACCTATTTTTCTTGACTTTTTCATAAACTTAAGCAGAGAAAACTTGTTCCAAGAAATAAGTAGATTGAACACTAAGGGGTTATACACAGCAGTCACTCAACTCTTTCGATTCTGAGTTGTCCAACAATCCACGATATTTAAAACGATATTTAATGGTATCATCTAACAATTCCATACAATTTTCCTTTCATTGTGTTGAAAGCAAAGCAATGGAAACCATTTAAATTACAAAGAGAGGTTACCTAGATTCAGGCCCTTCTCCATTTCAAACTAAGGACACATAGGTCTAGGGCTTGATTAGCTTTTCCCTTAGGCCTTGCTGCAGAGAAAGGATGGAATGAATGGGAACCGACAAAAACTTAGGGCCAAGCAAGTAGGGTGGCTGATTACTGAAAATCAACCCGAAAATCCCGAGCGTTTATAGAATGGCCAGGAAAGCGCGGGAAGGCCCTTGGGGACAGGGAGAACAACCCTCCGGTGTTCAAGGCTATGGGCACCGGGAGGAAATTAAGGTGATTCCCATTTGGCACGCGCTGAGCTGCCAGGCCGCAGGCACTCAGGTAAAGCAGAATTTACATTTTCTACTGGACGTGAGGCCTCTGGGAATGGCAGCTACAGAGAAGAAGTCAGAGGAGGTCACACAAGAGGTTTCACTCTCAAAGATTTGGCCTAGAACTTGGAGGCCTGCTGCTAAGCTGCTAGCCTGTACGCCACCCACGCCCCCATTCACCCGCACTGCGCCGTTATCTCTCTGACTGACATTTTTGTCAACCAGTCACCTTTAGAGCTGAGAAAGCGCCTGTCCCCCCCCGATATTGGGCGGGGCAAGTCATTGGAATGACAGACATTTGCGCCAATAGTGAAGAGCTTCAGAAGCTACTGGTGCACTAGCCAATGAAGAGTAGGAACCACTGGAAAGGACGTATCAGGCAGCCAACGGCCGGCGCCACTACGGGGGTCGGGTGGCTTCCGTTCCGAGAGGGCGGGGCGGGGCTCCAAACGGAAGGTGGCTGTGGTCCGAGCCGAAGCAGGTTTGAAACTGGGGGTCGGGCCCGGCAGTCGTTGTCCGTCGCCGCGGCCCCGCTTCCGGGCTAGGCCGTCTCTGCCCGCCCCCGCCCCGCCTCCTTTCGGACCCCTCAGTCTCCGGCCCGGCTCCCGGTCTGACTCGCGCCCGGCCCGCAGCAGCTCGCTGTCGTCCCGGCCCGCACTGCGGCCCCGCCGCCGCCACCATGTCCCTGCACGGCAAACGGAAGGAGATCTACAAGTATGAAGCGCCTTGGACCGTCTACGCCATGAACTGGAGCGTGCGGCCCGACAAGCGCTTTCGCCTGGCGCTGGGCAGCTTCGTGGAGGAGTACAACAACAAGGTGGGCCGGGCAGGGGCTCGGAACCCAGCTGGCGGGGAGCGGGCCCCTGGAGCACTCTTTCCGGGCCGGAGCCCCGACCTCAGGACCCTCCTGCGGACTTGCCTTAGCGCCCCGGAGCGGTTCCTCTGTGTCTGGCCCTGTGCAGAAGCTTTCACGCTCGTTGTCTCATTTAATCCTGGCAGCATTCCTGTGTAGTCAGGAGCGTAATTACCCCCATTTTACTCATGGGGAAACTGAGGCACCGTGTTGTGAGTTGCTCGAATCAGAAGCTAGCTGATTCGTGGGGGAAACGGCACTCAAACTCGACTTTACACCCAAAAGCTACGCCATTTATCACTCCAGTCTTCCCCCTTCCCGCCGCATTGCTTCAGTTGGGGGCGGACGGGGGAAGAGAGAGAGATGGCTGTGAAGAAAACTACTGGCGCATCAGTTGGTGGTCTCACACTCTTGGCTACGCTAAGTTTCTGTTAGGGCTGTTTACTGTGCAGGCTTCCCCGCCTCCTACTCCCACCCCCAGGTACTATTCAGGGACCACCCCCACCACGCCACCCCGCCCGCCTCTTCTGCCAGGAGTGGGTCACTGCTATTGCTGCCTGATATCTGTCCTCTTCAAAATGATCTCTTTTTGGAAATTTTGGCCCGTGACCGTGATCCTGTCACTGTTTTCTGAAAGGAGAAGGGTGACCTTTTCCTTATCTTTTCTTGGCTTTCATGCCCTTACAGAAGTGTAACCTTGAGTAGTAGTAAGTCTTCCGGGACATCAACAATTTGAAATTTGAGGCTCTTTCATAGAAGCACAGGCAGCAGGTGGAAGCTTTTTAAGCTGACATTGCAGCATAGATTTATTTTTGAAAGTTGTTGAATGCATCAGTGGGCAGAGTTTTCTTCCCTTTATCCCTTAATCTCTTCCTTATCGTATTAAACACTGTGATGGGGATCAGAGCAACAGAAAGCCTTGGCTAGTGGTGTTTAAAGTCTTATATTTATACTCTTGCTGGACACCATGAACACCATGACTTAAGAAGAATGAAACTGTGTGGACGGTGATAGGCATGGTTCAGGGAAAAGAGCCCAGTCGAGTTTGGTTCTGTCTGGTCCACTGACTAGCTGTGGGGTGTTGCACAGGTTAATCTTATTCTTTCTGACCCACAGTTTGTTGGAGGCAAAGAGTTCTTTTTTACACATAAACAAAAAGCATTTGTACATTGTAAGTTTGCTTACAGTTTCCCAGGAGCATTTCTCTAGAGTCCAGGGCTCAGCTTTCCTAGAATCCCCTTTGAGAAATGGATGAAAGGACTGGACTCTCATGGCTCAGACGTAACATGCACAGTTTACACACAAATCCCAGGGACTGCACACTCATAGTGAAGTCTACCCATTGTCCACAGAAAGCAGAGAGTCCTGAGCAAAACGTAGTTTTATTTCCTGTAATGGCTGGCCCTTCTTATGGCCCATAGTGGATAGCAGAATGGAACGGAATTCGAGATCCTGATGTGAAAACTGTGGTAGTAAAATTGAGACCCTTATTATTTAAGAATATATGTTTAAAAGAAAAAAAAGTAAAATCTGTCAAAAGGCTTGAGTTTTTTAACGCAAATTGATGTCCCCTTTTTCCTTGCCATATCTTCCAGAGTCAATTTGGGTAAACAGTAGTAGCCCCACTTCTGAGAGGAGGAGCTGAGCCACAGTTAGGCTGCTGGTAGAATCAGTGAAGTAACGGGTCAAATGTTAGTTGTGGGAACTCTGCCCCAAAGTGTGTCCTTTCATTTAGCAACTTACTGGAACCCGTCTGTGCCAGGCTACGCAGGCAGTGTGGGTCTTAGTAGTAAAATGCAAACTAATAATCCTAATAATCACAGGATAAGCAGTTACTTCTGTCTTAACTCCCTTGCATGTTACTGGCAACACAGTATCTTTTTTTTTTTTTCAACGTTTATTTATTATTTTTGGGACAGAGAGAGACAGAGCATGAACGGGGGAGGGGCAGAGAGAGAGGGAGACACAGAATCGGAAACAGGCTCCAGGCTCGGAGCCATCAGCCCAGAGCCCGACGCGGGGCTCGAACTCGCGGACCGCGAGATCGTGACCTGGCTGAAGTCGGACGCTTAACCGACTGCGCCACCCAGGCGCCCCGCAACGCAGTATCTTAAAACTCTTGTTGTGCCCCAGCCTATCTAGGTCCGGGTTCTTAACTTTGTGTGTGTGTGCGCCATGGACACCTATGACAATCTGAAGCTGATAGACCTCCTTTCATAATTATGTTTTCAAAGACACAAAATACATAGGATTAGGAAGGAAATCAATTATATCAAACTCAGTTATCAAAAACTTTTTTTTTTTTTTTTAGTGTTTATTTTTGGGAGAGAGAAAGCACCCATGTGTGGGGAGGGGCAAAGGGAGGGAGGAGAGAGAATAGAATCCCAAGCGATTCCATACTGCCAGTGCAGAGCCCCACACACAGCTTGAACTCATGAACCGTGAGATCACGACCCGAGCTGAAACCAAGAGTCGGACACCTAACCAAGTAAGCCACCCAGGCGCCCCTCAAAAACCTTTTTTAAAAAGTGGAGCTATAGTAATATGTAGTTTAAATTAATTCGTTAAATTACACCATCCAGTGTAATTATTATAATTTTAAAGTAGTAATGAGGGTAAATAACATTTCAGAATGTTTAATTGAAGTGATGTGATATGATAAAAATCTGATTTCTGTCAGTAACAAAGTCAGGTATTGATGCGGCTGTGCATAGCCACCTCCCTTCATAATGGAAGGAAATGCTAAATTTCAGCCAGAGGTTAGTGAAAATATGAATGAGTGATTCAAGCTCATGGACTTCAAGTTAAGAAACCCTGCTGTAGAGGATCTGTGCCTAGGGGCTGATGAGCAGTAAATACCCCTTGAACACAGTGACTCTTCGGCTCAGTTTTAGAGAAGACTTTTATCACAGAGGTGCCATACTTGACAATTTAGAGGAATTTATAAGTTATCGGTTGGAATTTTCAGATCTTTGTTTCCTGCTTGCTGTCAATACTGATTGCCAGCAGAGGGCAAAACAAATGGACACAGCAAATTAGCATTGGTGAAAAAGCCCAGAAACGGCCCCCTTTTTTTTTACTGTGGAGACATTGACATAAGAATACACATTATTATAATTTCTAAAATTTTTGAATTAATGCAATCACGTTTTCCTATAGTAAAATTATTTGTATTTCAACAGAATTAAATTTATTAGCATTTCAAGAACAACTTGACTTTCAGGTGTTCCATCATCTGAATAAATTTGAGAATTGTTTTAGAGTAAACAATTGAGTTGATCCTATCAACTGTACCTGGAATAAGAAGTCCCATCATCAGTAGTTGTGTTTCATGTTCCCTCGTTGTGGTCTCTGCTGGAGGATACAGCAGCATTGATGTTGGAGTGGTGGTTCTCTAAATTTTAGTGTGTGTGTGAGAATCCCCTGAGGGACTCGGCACATTCCAGGGTTCCATCCCTGAAGTTAACAGACACTTACGTGATTAAGAAACAGGTGGTCCAGATGGCTAAGAACATTACCCTGAGATTACCTAGGCATCTGCTGACCAGAAGTAGGAATCCTATCTTTTTGCATCTACATTCGCCTAAACATTGATTCTGCTCTTCCATCCCATGCAAAAAGCTCTGTTACTGAATAGCCCCTGGGACGCCTGGGTGGCTCAGTCTTTATGCACCAGATAGCCCCTTTGAGGTACTCTGTGGCTAGGTTATCAGTCCTGCCTCTTCCTAGTTTTGTGTGGTTTGAGCAAATTAACCTCTGTGCCTCAGTTTCCTCATCTATAAAATAAAGGTAATAAAATTAAATGAGTTAATATATGTAATGGGTTTAGGAACTCTGCCTGAGACAGACATAGTTAAGCAATGTAGAAGTGTTTGCTGTTGGGGGTGGCTCAAGTGGTTGAATGTCTGACTCTTGATTTTGGCTCAGGTTATGATCTTCCAGTTTGTGGGTTTGAGCCCCAGGTCAGGCTCTACGCTGGCAGAGCAGAGCCTGCTTGGGATTCTCCCTCTCTCCCCATCTTTCTCTCCTTCTCTCTCTGCCCCTCCCCTGCTCATGCGCAGAAGTGTGCATGTGCTCTCTCTCAAAAAGTAAATAAACATTAAAAAAGAGAAATGTTGGCTATTATTAGATATTACTGTATCTGTAATTGAAATATAATCAAGAAGGGGTGCCTGGGTGCTCAGTTGGTTAAGCATCTGACTTTGTTCAGGTCATGATCTCGTGGTTTGTGAGTTCAAGCCCCGCATTGAGCTCTGTGCTGACAACTCAGAGCCTGGAACCTGCTTCAGATTCTGTGTCTCCCTCTCTCTCTGCCCCTCTCCTGTGCTCGCTCTCTCTCTCTCTCTCAAAGAGAAATAAACATTAAAAAAATTTTTTTAATAAAAAAAGAAAGAGAATCAAGGAGAATTGTATGGGTGTTAGGTAAATGTGATGTATTTTCCAGAGGAAAGGTACCTCAAAATGTCATTATGTTCATTCTTCTGCCTTTTAAAGACCCAGAGGAAAAAATTTTCTTGATTCCTTTCAACTAAATCCATTTTTGTGGTCTAGAAGCTTCTTGTAGTCAGACTCCAAGTATTGTAATGGTCTAGTTTAAGCCCATTTTCTCTTGCTCTACCTGGGTTAGACATGGTAGTTGATAAAAGAACTCGTGTATTTCTCCTGAGTTTTGAACATATCTGTGGTCTGTAGACAGGTGGTATTTCCCCTGTATTATGGGGAAAGATGGGTAGCAGTTCCTGGGTTTCTGTTTCACTTAGTTGCATGTTTCAGGGATGGTTTTGAATAGAGTTGGCAGAGTGATACGGATTTATTTTGCCCTAATATTTAATTAGCTGACCATCGTGCTTTAAGATTTAGCATCTAGAAAGCATTTTTGAGGTTCTGAGGAGAGAAACTGTAGGTATACATGATGCTTTTTGAAGAATACTGATAGTGAATCTGGGTAAGACTACCTTGTACTTGAAATACACATGGGATGAATGCTTGCCTTTTCATCCTGTGTTGATGCCTCTGAGACTGTAAGTAGTTGCTTTATCTGTTTGGCACATAATGATTTTAACTCTGGCATATAAATGTTCATTTCTTAATATTCATTGCGGCCCTTCAGGAATATCTTCATTTAATTCAACAAATGTGTGGGGTGCCTGGGTGGCTCAGTCGGTTGAGCGTCCGACTTCAGCTCAGGTCACGATCTCCCAGTTTGTGAGTCCAAGCCCCGCATCGGGCTCTGTGCTGACAGCTCGGAGCCTGGAGCCTGCTTCCGGTTCTGCGTCTCCTCCTGTCTCTGCCCCTCCCATGCTCATGCTCTGTCTCTCAATAATAAATAAACATTAAAAATTTAAAAAAATAATTCAACAAATATGTATTGAACACACAAGCAGTGTGTTTTGGGCACAATGATGATACTTAGTAACCTTCTGTAGACTTTGTTAGCAGATGTGAGATTGGCAACAAAAAAGAGAAAGTGTTTTAGTACACGGAAGTATTTTGGATAGATACTTAGAATTTTGCAGTGCTCCATCAGTCCCTGGCAAGACTGTCAACAGGGAAATTTACACTATAAAACTCTTCTGGTTTTAACTTCCTCCTTTCTTTTTTCTAGACAGTGAGAGGACTAATTCCTCCATGGGACGACGGGATAAAAGTGCTGCTGCTATATTGCTTTTTGCCCTAACCTGGTTCACACAGGCCTACTGGAGATGCTGTGATTTGAACAAGGAATGAATCTGTGTTCTGTAGGTAGTATGGCTTGCCTGAGGCCAGGATGCCAGAGCTGACTGGTTAGCCTCTGAGACAGGAGCCAAAGGGGCACTATGCCAGAATTCATCTTAAAGTTTAACAAGGCAGGACTTCTCTGCAAACATTGATCAATAATAATCAGTCAGGAACAGGCTTGAAGGGAGGACAGATGGAAAAGAACAAGAAAAACGGGCATATTCTCTCAGAATTTTGCTTAGCTGATTTTGGTTATATTAATCACAGAAAATGTTGCATTCACTGGAGTGGTATATTGATTTGCATAACTTGGGGTCTTTAAAAAAATTACATACATACACACACCTTCACCCTCATGTTCTGGTACTAGCATTGTGTATAATAAAGTGGAATGCACAATTTCCTCCCTCAAGGAGCATATAATAACAAGACAAACATGACATCTTTTAAAAATTTTTTAAATGTAAGATACATGTAATGTGAATAGTAATTTATGTTGCTATTCATGAAAGCATTTGAAAGTGAAGATGTGGTCATGTCTTCAAGGGGTAAATATTTTATGTTGCATATATGCTTCTTAGGAGACATCTGACATAGTAATGTCCACAGTTTTAAAATAAGTAAAAATGATCTTTATAGCCCTTCCTTTATAGAGGCATTTTTTTTTCATGCTTGGGGTAAAGTATTGTGAAGCAATAGTTGCAGAAGGACGGGGTGGGAGATAAAAGTTTAATAGGACAGGAAGACTCTGGAGAAAAAGGCACAAGGGTAACCTAAATGTGAACAACAAGATGTTTATTTGTTTTTTTTTTATTAAAGTTTTTTATTTATTTAAGTAATCTCTACAACCTATGTGGGACCTGAACTCACGATCCTGAGATCAAGAGTCTCATGGTCTTCCTACTGAGTCAGCCAGGTGCCCTGACAATAAGATGTTTAAAGTCGGATAATTTTTCCTTATGCCCCCAAAAGTAATTGCAGAAGGACAGCAGTATAATGAAGATCCCATGGGTATAGGAAGATGCTGAGAAAGGATATCTTTGGTTGCAGATTTCAAACTCATACGGTTCTCCAGAATAGGATTTTGACAGGCAAGATCAACATTCCTTTATTTGGAACAGTGAGAAGAAGGTGCACAGGCTGGCAGCAGGCACCTCTCCAGACCCCATTTGACCCCTTGGGTAAGAGGGGAGCTAAGCTACACAAGGAGACACATAGGCATTAGATAAGGCAGGTTGGAAGAGATACCGAATTGTGAGCAGCTGGACCGTTTCTCATCCCTGTTGGCTGGGGAGATGCTACAGTTTCATGTGTTTCTGCTAACTTGGAACATGGCCCTGGCTTCTCTCAGGTTCCCATAGGAACCTCCTTCAGATCTTATAGGAAGAACTTGTCTCAGTCAAAAGACATCAGTACAAGATCTAGAAAGATAGATACTATAAGACAAAAGGAAAATATGGGAAACAAGTGGCAGGTAAAATGGCCTCACTACAAAGATGTTTTTTTACCTCAGATGAAAATTAATGGCCATTCCTGCCACCATGAATTCAGAGAACTTAGGAAAGGAAGGAACTCCAAGCAGAGATACAGGAGATCAGGTAAAATAAGGCATGGTGACAGGAGGAAATGGAACATCAGCAGGTAGAGCCCAGGAAAAGAGTGAAGAGAAAATAAAAGTTATCACCGAATTAAAAGCCACATTGGAAAGAGAATAAAAATGAATATAAACTGCTGAAAAATTAGTGAAGGATAGGGAAGACAGATTACAAAAATGAAATGGAAATAAACAATTAGAAAGAATGTAGTAGATATAGAAAATAAAGAAGATCTGACTTAGGTATAATTGGTGTCCCTGAAGAAAAAGATCACAAAGAAATGAAACACAAAAACTCAGGGTACCTGGGTGGCTCAGTCGGTTAAGCGTCCGACTTCGGCCCAGGTCATGATCTCATAGTTTGTGGGTTTGAGCGCCATGTCGGTCTCTGTGCTGACAGTGCAGAGCCTAGAGCCTGCCTTGGATTCTGTGTCTCCCTCTCTCTGCTCCTCCCTCATTCATTCTCTGCCTCTCTCTATCTCTCAAAAATAAATAAAAGTTAAAAAAAAAACCTCAAGTATGTAATTAAAGACTATGGAAAAAAATGTTTGAAGTAATGAGCTTAAACCTTATCTCAAGGGGCATCTGGGTGGCTTAGTTGGTTAAACGTCTGACTTGATTTTGGCTCAGGTCAGGATCTTGTGAGCCCCATGTCAGGCTCCAAACTGAGTGTGGAGCCTGTTTAAGATGCTTTCTGTTTCTCTGCCCGTCTCCCATATGCGCATGTGTGTGCATGCACACTCTCAAAATAAAAACCTTAAAAAAAAATCAAGAAAAATGGACACAAAACAATTGGCACTGAAAACTTTCCTAGGAAAGTTTCTTAATTTTAAGGGTGAAGAAAGAATCTTTTGGGCATCCAGGCAAAACAGTTGAGTCCTCTTGAAGAAAAAGAGAAATTAAATAAGGCTTACCATATTTGAGAATAGAAGGTAATGGAGTAATATCTACAAATCTGCAATTATTATAGATTGTGCCACTATAAATAAATACCTGAGAATATGCTTAATAATACGTAAGACTTATACTGTAAAAACAACGCACTTTTTAAAAAGATAAGGGGTGCCTGGGTGGCTCAGTCGGTTAAGCATCCGACTTCAGCTCAGGTCATGATCTCGCGGTCCATGAGTTCGAGCCCCGCGTTGGGCT